AGAAAGCAAAAATGGTCTTAATGTAAGTTATTGGAAGAAGGTTTTGTTTTAGAGCATTTCTATTGGTCCATATATCATGGAATTTTTACACAAAGTAAAGCAGCCGTATTCCAGTGATGCAGAAAGATTGACAGAAATGGAGATATAAAGACCTATAAGGTAGGTGCAGATCATAAAGTGGACGGTGAGTGTACAGTTGGCCTTGTGTAAAATCTTTGCAAATCTTATGAATGCAAATCTTATACCAGATAATACATGCAAGCCTGCCAGAGTTGCACCACCATGCCCTCGTTATTGTTTCCCTGGCAACCCAGAACAATTTCAAAATTTCACACTTCACACAGTTGTCTTCCATTGTTGGTTCAAAGAAGACAGAAAGCTCAAGAGACGAAGCAGCAATGAAGAGGCAAACTGCCCACATCATGACCAACTTTACTCAGCAAATACTCCGTCCAGAATCTCGCTAAACTAAAGTTTCAATAAGGGTTCTTTGAGGTGATACCATAGAAGAACCTTTTCTGGTTCCCTAAGGAATCTTTCAGTGGATGGAGACTTGAAGAAGCAATTTTGTAAATGAGATGTAAGGGTGTAATAAAAAATATGTCAGGGCGAAGAAACACATTAATTAATTAATTAATTATTAATAATAATAATAATAATAATAATAATAAACCCTCCATATAAAGTGAATTGAAATGGAATTCTGTTGCTTTTTAAAATGTCATTGTAGAGAGACATACCGAGTCGGAATCCCAGTGGTAGCTATAACCATACATCAAAAAATGCTACTTCACAGAAAGTTGTTACAGAAAGGTTATGAATACATGCTTACTGGTGCCTAAAACTTTAAGTACATTAATACCAGGGAGGTACATGCAGGGTGTCATATGCAAAATAGTACCCAAAGAAAATAATTGTTTTCAAATTAACACTTTTTTCCAGCATCAACTTCACATTTTACATTACAAAAAAGAAGACATAAGGCTCACTGGTTGTAATGCACGGTAAGTCAAATGGCTATGTTTTGGTCATAGACATCAGGCTTCCTGGTTTCTATCACCACCACTGTAAATCCAACTTGGTAAGTTTCTCTACAATGAGCCGTTTCACATCAGACATCTCTGAATGACTTTGCTTACGTCTCAACAATTGATTGATTCAGATGTTTTGAAAAATCAGTGAATTCTCTTTTAAAAGTTTTTCCAAACCAAGAACAAAAAAGGACAGATTCTTCCATGTTCTTTTCCTCCAACAATCTCTCAGCACAAATGAAAGGCAACACATCATGTTCTACTATGAATGCTACTACGACATTCAGAGGCGGCCAGGCAGTGCAGTTGTGCCCGAACAGTGACCTGTATTGTTGCAGTGTGCAGAACGTAGGATGCCGAGAGCCTTCTTGTCTGACTGGAAAGTCCATTGTGTGAGAGAGTGCCAGGAAGGACAGTGCCAATACGTTGCTCGGGGAGCATTGCTGAGAACACCAGTGTGTTTGTTTGTTGGTGAGCGAGATTTTAGTGAGGGCAGTCTGTTTGTGAGGACTGGTGTGGTCATTTAATGGAAGGAGGCCGGCCCCCTGGGGAGCTTTGTGCTTTGTTGTTGTGACTCAGGGCTGAGAGTGGAGGAAAAATGGAACAGGTGAAGTTTTCGGTTTGGTATTTATGTGTGGAAAGGAGGGCTGATGAAGTGGTCCGTGTCTTTCCTCCTGCTGTGCAAGGTGTTCACGTTTTAATCTCAGGACAACATGTGACCGCTCCTTCCCTGCCTGTTTTTGTTATGAAAGTGTAAATCATCACTGTCCTAACAAAACCTTGTACTTCTAAAATGGAAACTTTATAGTAGAAGGAAAAACACATTCTTAACTTTAAGGCAAGAAGCTACAGGTAGAAACAATTTTGGTCCCATCAATCATTTGTCACATTTGACTTGCTTCTCATTGCCTATAAGCATATCAGTAATAAACTGCGAAAAAGTCATTGTGACATTGTGAATGATTCTGTTCACCTGTAGTGCTTTAATGTAGGTGAATATAACAAGCTTTTATTTCAAGTAATTCTGAACCTTTTTATAGGTATTAGTATTGTATTGGTATTTAAATAGTATTAAAAAAATAAATAAATAAAAACATTTTGTGAGGTTTTGATATGGCAAGGTTGAAATGTTCAGTGGTTTGCTTGCTGATGTGGAATGCAGTGCTGTTGTCCTGGGCAGCCTGTTGTGGGTGGGATGTGTTAGTAATAGCAGGTGTGTGAGCGAGTTGCTTACTCTCACTGGTTCTGTGAGTAATAGTTCACATAATTAGCACTCTCAGAAACACAAGAGACAGCAGAGACCCTGCTCATGCATTTATTGTGACATAAAACACTATAAATATGTATATACTTTAATGCACTGTACGACTCAAAGATAAAAAATTCCTTTTTTCGGCTTCTGCCTTGCAAAGTATATGAGTAGGTAGAGTGATATCATTTTTGTATTGTTCCTTCTTAGGGAGGGCATAATTAAAAAAGACAGACATAATACGTAACATTAAAACATATCTGTATATATATTGCTATATAGCAAAAGTTAGACCCTCTTGCTGGTTAGGACCAGGGCACCTTGGACCACCAACTCAATAGAAGAACTATAAACTTGTGTATATGATAAAAGAGAAGGATTCTTCAATATAGGCAAAGCGTTACATTATACTATTCTCATACAATTGAAAATAACTTGACTAGGCCATGCTGATATACTAAGAAGCCAATTACACTAACTATTAACTCTGCCTTGCATTTTACATTTACTAGACATGTAAAAAAACATATTTACAGGTTCTAAGCCCCACCCCCTCCCCTTGCACTTTACTAAGACAGCAAATGAGAGACTCAGAACCAATAGTCATACATAGATATACATTTTAATGAACTATTTTAATAATAATTTTTAAAAAATTTTTCCGATACCTTTTGAAATTGTTCTTGAAATCTTTATTTCACTAACATTCAGACTGGAGAACCAGGCCTTTATCACAAATGTTAGAAGATACTTATTTTGCTGTAGGTTATCTTTAATCTACATTTGTGGTTCTTCCCGGCTGCCTTAGGGCTCCTGTTACCCTCCTGTCCTCCATTATTCATGCACATAGGCCTCTGTGGTACCGCCCAAATACTACAGTGCAGGGCCAAAAGCCAGCCTGAACCTAACTAGAGTGTGTATCTGGACACACAGTGCAGTACTCTCCACTCTGCTCCACTGTGCATAGAGGGTTTATTGGTGTATTACACATACGTACATGTGTGGGAACACAGTTATCAAAGTTTCCCCAAAAATGTGACCGCTGACTGGCTCTATTTTTATTCCCCTATTTGGAGCGTCTTTTACGTGGGTCCAAGGGTGCATAATTGCTGTTATATGGCTGTGGCTGTCTGAACTGGCCCCTCCGCTAATGAGATTGCTGTTAGGTCTATTCCGTTGGGGTTTAAGGGAGGTGCACAAAAAATTGAAGAGGAAGAATGTAGAATGTACAAGTTAAATCAAACCACTGCAGCCTAGTTACTATTTCAGCCCGTCTCAGTGGATCGGTATACGTCATTGTTCACTGTGTTTGAATTCAGCGAGGCACTGACTAATACCCTCCACCAGCTGGGGTGGGAGTGGGTCTGGGCCCGTAGCAAGCTACCACAGTGCTTCCTGTGTGCAGAGAGTTAATTAAAGTTGCACTAGGACAGATTATTTTTACCCAAACCCAAAGCAAATTATCACATAGACATGTATTCTAAAGTCATGAGGCTCAGGGACAAGGATGTGGCCCAAATAGGGCTGCACAATTAATCGGATTTGAATTGTCATCACAATTTTTGTATTCCTCAGTTAATTAAACATAATTGGATGGATATTTATGAACTTAGCTTGAGTTAAATAAGTCAGAGTTAGATTTCAACTTTTGATGTTTACCAGATGTTTAAAATATCACAAGTGTCCAGCATAGTGTTCTCCTTTAGCAGCTGTAGACAGTCAGCAGCCTGTCCATGTTGTCCACCCTCACACACACACACACACACACACACACACACACAAACATATACAAACACATACACACACAGACACACACACATATACAAACACATACACACACAGACACACACAACCTAACAACAAGCCATGTAGGAGGAGAACAGAATGAAGAGACACAGCACCTTCACACTTTTATTCCATGCGGGTTCACCCCAACACCACATGTGTAATATAAATGTGTTGGGGGTGAACAGTGTTACGTTATTCAAAATGTGTTATTTTGTATGTTCTTCACAGAAAATGAGCAAAGTCCAAGGAATCTGAGGTTGAAATAATAATAAATCGCATCATTTTTTCTTCTGGTAAACATTGAAAATGGTTCCACAGACCTGAACACCACACAAGGGTTAATTAGAGTAATGATAAAACACTACTAGTGTATGACTTATACTCCTATTTATATGTTTACTTGTTCAAAAATATAGCTTATATAGCTTACATATCAATAACATGCATTAAATGCAACAACAGCACTGAGACGGCATGCTTTTAAAGGAAAGGTGTAGGTTAAATGATAGAAATAGCCACGTCTTCACGGCAGCCCTAAAGTGTTAAGCAAAATGTCATGAATGAAATTTTAGCCATTTTCATGCAGACCTAGGCCCAGCCATAAACAAGAGTGCTCTGTCAGCTCACAGCAAGAGTTGGTTAAACACAGGCCACTTCAACACCTCTCACCTCACCCCTGCTGAGGCTAACATGCTGGTTTAGCTCTTTAGTCACCAGAGTTTTTAGCCTCCATCCTGCCTTGCACTGCACACGCCACATTTGCCATATTCTCAACACAACAACACACACCTCACCCACACACACCCGTTCAGAGTGTGCTTCTCCACTTCTCAACACTTGCACAGGAGATTATGAAATCATCCTGTTGATGAAAGCTGGCCTGGGTGGTGTGGGCTCCCTCTCTATTTCGCACTCACTCACAATCGCCCTTGTGCAGTGAGCAGAAGCGCAGTCCCTGCTCAGGCTCCAGCTGACATCCAGCTTCAGAGCGGCCCGAGGAAGAGCATCCGAACGCAGATTGAGTTTTGTAGCGGACTCCATCACTCAGGAGGGCAGCTTAACTGAAGGGGAAAAAACAGAGAGCGGGGAAGAAGGGATGGCCTTGTGCGAAATCACGGAGGATGACCTGAATGAACTGATGCGCGAGGAGGCGGAGGATGTCTTCTTCGATGGTAGGGTCATGGCATTGTGGGTGGGGTGACACAGTAAAAGGGTGGCAATGTGAGGACAGTAGTTTAGGGGACAATGGGCACTCTTGTGGAAGAATAAAAGATATCAAGTGCTTTTGATCTCAACAGGTTTAGCTGAGGGGAATAGGACTGAAAGGGCTTCAGAACATGTATGAGATTAGGTCTAAATCTTTTTGCCTTCTCAAAGGAAGATTGATGTGATTTTTGCATTTATATTCTTAAAAATAAAGGTTCTATGGAGGGATGCTATAGACAAAGCACTTTTGGTTCCTTAAAGAACCTTTCAATGGTTGGGTCTTCCAAGAACTGTTTTTGTTAATGAGATGTATTGAGTGTGAAGAACCTTTTGAGGTTTAAAGACAGTCAACGGAATGCAAAGGTTCAACCTTGTACCCCTACCATGTTTTTACACTATATATAACTCTATCATATATAAATTCTTATTTTATTTATTTTTATTGTATTTTTGCAGTCTTTAACAAAATATAGAGCAATGTTATAAAATACATTTTAAAAACCTACCTACCTTCTTCATCTGTATACTTTTTTGTCTTTTTGTCTCTGTTTTGTCTTTTTGTCCCCATAAACATTCCACTTTGCACCCACTGACAAAACATTTGTGCACCCCTGTCCTAGATCCATGCATCCAAGCTAAGAACCATTTAGGAACTTTTATTTTAAGAGTGTAAATGCTCATTTTCATATGTGCAGGAGTTATTTTGCTGCTTGTAGCTTTGCTCATCATGGTTGGTCATCTGCAGAATGCAGAATGTGTTGTGTGGGTGTACTTGTGTAATTCCCCACTGCCTAAAAACAAGCAAAGAGCACTGGTGGATGATGTGCGGTATTATTAGCATCACTTCTTGTTGCCATCAACATGAACTTAAATACATCAAACTATGGTTTATGTTGTCATCTAATGCCGTACTGCATGCTGTGAAGTACAACAATGTGCGTAGCGCTACATAGAAAAGAACTTTGCTTTGCCTCCCAATGCTTTGGATGACCTATTTATCTAGATGAATAAAATGCTAATTTGTCACTATGTGCATGAGCATGTAGCATGGAAATATGGCCATGAGGCAGATGAGGCAGTTCAAATGAGCTTCTCTATCTGCTCTTCACTATGCAGGATAGAAATGCACACATACTGCTCCACTGGGAGAAATGCAGAGTTTGTGTGGGTTGCAGACACAATTAGTGTTCCAAATAATTTGCTAAATCACCCTCAAACTGGGAATAATGTAGTATCAAACACTGTGTCATCTGAACCGTTTAAGTGTTCTCAGTTTCATTTTCATAGTTCCTGCAAGGTCATGGAATGGTACAGTGCCAAGAATTACAGAAAGAGTTGTGAAATGGAAACTCATCACACATGAACATCTAAGGCATGATGTTGTGCAATGCTTTGGCTTTGCAATACACAATGTTTCATATGTTTTGCAAATGATTTGGCTCACTGTTAAAGTAATGAATCAGTGGCGTCTCATCTCTGTCGACGCTTCAGTAAACTTTAACTCTTTCATTACAGTTCGTCAAATGTAGAAACTGTCATCATCTTGTGTGTCCACTGCTCAGTGGAACCCAATGACCCAACTCTCCATTCAGCCATACAATATGGAAAAGACTGAGAGTGTGTGTGTGTGTGAGAGAGAGAGAGAGAGAGATGTGTCAGGGGGAGCATAAGCTTGGTGAAAGTGTATTTCTGGAAGTCCACTTCTACAGACATGTCAGTCTTTATAGGCTAGCTATGCAAAGAATAGGTGTGCCAAGGTCTCAGGCATCGTCCAGTCTCACTTTACCCTGATCCTGACCTGTCGTATTGAACAACGTCAATAAAGTTATAACTCTGTGACACACTGACAGAATGATTATAATATAGGCTTTTCTAAAATATAGTTCGTTGTCATTTTAGTTTCAAAGTCACATGTCAAAAATGACAAATAGTGCATTCATATTGTAATTTACTTCAATTTTAAAATTGCTTAATGTTTGATGAGTAACACGTCTGAAACAATATTTTTGGGACAAACGAAGCTGTCAGTGTTTTAGCTAAATTTATCTATTGATTTTGCTAACTATGGACTTCTCAGAGTTAATCTTTCTTCCTTCAAGATATTCAGAAGAGCAATGATTTAAAAATAACTTATTATTTCTTTAAAATGACAATTTATGTTTCAGTAACCCTACTTAATCAAAAGTCTTGGGACAAGATTTATTATCAAAATAAATGACATTTATATGTTGAAAATATTTTTAACCCCGTAAAATCCCAGGATTATTACATACTAAGGCTTCTTATTCAGTAACTACAGGGACTTCAGTGCAAACTGGCTGAGCTATTCTTAGGTTATAGACATGTGAAACGGGCCCTGTCTATTTAAAGGGTTAAAACAGGACAAAATCAATGCAAATGTAAATTTACAATGTAAAAAAAAAACATAAAAATGATACAGGATCTCTAAAGTCAGTGCTGTTACATGCTGTTTTCCATGCACAACGTGACTAAAAATCACTAGTTGTTGGGTAATTTAACAACAGAATAAAGAACACACAGTGATCAACTTCCTGTGGTTTATTCTTATTGCAAGGCATGGACGTTGTAGGTGGTCAAGGTCTTTGCACAAGTGGAGCAATCTTAAACTCAGTATTGAGGCAATGGACTTCACTAACTTTAAAAGGGCAAACTAACAAAATAACAGATGGAGCATGGAAGAGCAGCAATCACCCCATCCAACCCCTACATTATACTTTTAATCAGTGTTGTGTCAAAGTAAAAGTCACTAATAGACAGAATGCAGTAACACAATAATATTTTTAAAACCGAAGTTCCTTTAGGTGCCTTCATTTTTAAGAGTATAGAAATGTTTGTCAGCTATGAGGCTAACTGAAGACACTATAGACCAGCTACATGTTCTGATACTATGTGATTAGACTTCCTCTGTAGATCACTGACAGTCTGAATGCAATGTTGAAATACCTCTATGCCAGTTTAAAGTTTTTCAGCCTGTTTAGGCATGTATGTAAATCCAAGACACAAGTGTACAGTTCACAGTCATATCTGCAGCGTCCTCTGGGACACGTTTTCTCCTCCTGCTCAAACCTGAGGAACTGGCTCCTGAGACTTTCTCGCGCTTCCTTAAATAATCAACAGCCTGCCAGCCACCCAGTCCCACTGAACTCAGCTCAGTCTCTCTCTCTCCCCCTGCAAACTTTAAGAGTGCAGCTTTCAGAAACTTTTTTCATTAACCTAATTCAATCTTGCCAAGTAAAAAAGGAGGAAGGCTTTAAGGCAACTTTATTGTGTGAAAAGTACACACAATGGAGGCCTTTGACTCCTATTTGTGGGCACTTCATGAGTTATTCAGAGGGTTTTTTGCACGAGGCTGCCTGCGGTTCCCGAGGAAAGTAGAAAGCTTGTTCCTTGGTCCAGAGGAGACCCTGCCAGAAGGCTTGAAGGGGGACGATCTGGAACGTGAACTTTGGTCACCCAGCTGATCTTATGGCGGGGGAGAGAAAGTGGGTCATACGGGTCACTTGAAGATCCTCACTGTGAGGGAAAGTCCCTATCCCTATCCTGAACTATGTTTTTACACATAATGCAGGTCTTATATTAACCCAGACCCTACACTGAGAAAAAGCAATGCACTGAATTTACTTGATTCAAGCATGTACATCATTTCAGCGCTCCAATTTGACTATTGGAGCCTTGAATGTGGGCCATAAATGTCAAAACTCTACGATAAAGCTGATTTATGCTAGCACCATTATAGGAATCCTAATACTATGTTAGCTCTAAGGTAATGCTTGCGCAGATGGACATTTTTGCCATTTTAGATTAAACAAATACATTTAAAGCTTGTAAAAGACATTCTATATGTTTTATTTGAAAGTTTCAACAGATGTTAACATATATATTTCCCTTGTATGTTGCAATTTAAAAAAGCAGAGCGCGCTGGCAAAGCTGCCTCTGCTGTTTCCCATTTCTAACAGCTGCCCGAAACTGCTTAGCATACTGCTTATATTCACAGTCAGTGAAGTATCTAGAACCTTCAGAGAGCCTAGAATGATATTTTTCTTGTAGAATCGGTCCCACCCCACTGGAAATCAAAATACGATTGGTTGATTCCACTTTCCACTAATTATATTGGTGGTTGATCTAACATGTAAGGCTTTCTGTCCAGCTCCTGAAGGCTAAACCAGTTAGAGAGCTAGCTTGGCTATATCTACCTAGATATGGTGATGGGGAAAAAATCATAACCTGACCATTTTCTGTTTTTTAACTCTTTATTTTCTAATCAAGGCTTCACAATTTGTATTATTACAATACTTGAAGAATTTAAACACAATGGGCATGGTGATTCTGTTAAATAAAAAAAATAACTAAAGATCACTGATATTCTTCAGAAATGAAGGCATAGAAAGCCCTGAGAGTTCCTCACTGATTTCCACAGACAAAATTGAGTTGATGTAATACATTTCATTAATGTGTAAATGGTGTGCATATTTGAATCAAGGAATTCAAGCAATCTCCTTTTCTGCTGTTTGAAACTAGTCTCTTGCCACAAGGTGGGCAGCCTGTAAATCAAAACACTATATTTTGCTACAAGCAAGCTGGAGCATGAATTCTGTTGCCTCATTCCTGTTCACAACTTGCACTGCAATATGCCAAGTATTTTGCACACTGTGCTGACCTGTGCTGGAGAATTGTGACGTACCAAAGCTGTGAAAGAAGCCATCTCCACATTGCTGAAGTTACTGACACAGATAGTTATCATCACATCTTTAGCAGCTCCAGGCCTCATCTCTATTTATTCCATCACCTGTTCTGCCTCAGACAATCCTAGCACTTGTATTAAGTATTAGGAAAAACTCTGTGTTGATTATATCTCAGTGTCACTTGTCAGTGCTCTCTTTCTGTATTGATGCAGTGTATCAGTCACAAAAGAGGAAGACACTAACACAAGCCTGGGTAAAGTGAG